TCTTACAGGAAAAATGTTCATGAAATGTTTGTGACAATGTTTATTTTTTATTTTTTGTCCCTCTCAACACATTTTTGTAGTGGAAACACAGATGTGTCTTGGAATCTGTTCAGCTCCCGTACATTTGTCTGCTTCAGCTTTGGATTAAAAAAAACAACAACCATAAAACACCAACTTTCTCTTATCTCTTCTTTTAAAGAAAAAAACAGGATCTGTGTGTGAATGCCTGTGTTTCTGTATAGTATGGATTCAAGATCTCATCACAAAGCCAAGACTTTGAGCTCTAAAACCCTTTTCCGGTGCCCTCAAAGTAAAACTGAAAGTCTTGCACTTCAAGTCTGTTTTGTTGTATAACTGAAATTTTATGAAATTCAATAAATACGGGGGAAAAAAAAATATATATATATATATAAAATATCTTCCTCATATTTGACCTATGCCTCCACATTCAGGGAATTTTTCAACTGAAACACTTGTCGGTTATGATTCAGGTTCTTGTGTCGATTTGGGAATTGTGGCTTTCAGCCGAAGTGCACAGACTCAACTCGTGACCAGTTTGTATCATCCCTGCTAGAATGAGTGACTCCTGGAATATACGCATTTGCGTAGCAAAACAGCACAGTGGCATTGAGTCAACACAGACATTTGCCAACAGTGGGGTGTTTAGAGCAGTTTCCCGCTAGTGCATATGGTTCAGGTGCAAGGCAACTGTAGACTTTGAGCTTCCAGCTCTGAGTGTGACGAAACCCACAGTCATCTCTGTAAAACGTGTGTCTCTGCCAGGTAAGTGAGAGAGGGGGTAAATTGGGCCCCAGGGGAGTCCCTTGTAATAGTAGTCCTGTGGAGATTCAACCCCTCACTACAAATGCATCAGAACCTTAGGGCGCCCACTCGGCATGCTTTTCACAAAAGACGGGTCCCCGGACTCTTTCTGCGGTCTGGGTGGGTAGAGATGAGCAGCATTGTAAAATGTCATCACTATATGTACATGTTTTCTAAAGTAATATTCTCAGCAGCTGATGTGATTTGTGATAAATGCGATCAGAGGAAGTTGGTTTAGATGCTTGTTTTTTTCCCCCCTCATCAATTTAAAAACAAGTGATTAAATAATTTTTCCTGGTCTGGAAACTGTCAGCAAGTTGGCCTCCAATATGTTATTGTTGTGTTCACTGTTTTTAAAAGGTGTGGGGAAATGTAGAGGATGGAGACTTCTCAGCTGAGCTGGTGACACACAGCTCAGAGTTCTTTGAAGTGGCATGCCATCCTGATTCTCACACACAAACACACATCCTCTTGTACGTGCCGGCTCTGACTTGACCTGCTGCAGACAGTAGAGCCGTAGATGCGGCACATTACCTCAGCAAGAAACCCGCAGCACAGAGTAAACCAGACATGAAATGGAATCCTTGTGTTGTCAGTTTAGCATGTACAGTGGCTTATCTTTCACATGTGATGGAAATCCACATCATCTTACTGTCAAGAACAGCCCAGCGTGCATGTTGTGGTTAGTGCGGTTGCTTTGATTACGTTTTTCTGATAAATTTTCTTTAGGTCCCTGTAACAAAGGTGTGCTTCTTGATCTTTAAAGCTGAGTTGCACAAGGAAGTGTCACTATACATTTAGTATAGTGCAAGTTATAAATACTGGAAAGCAAAGTGAGGGGCCTTTCTAGAAATAATACAATGGATGGCTTTTGATTTCTCAGTTGCTACCCAAAGAACTTGTTTTTGTTTTTTGTTTTTAAGAAAAGCTGCTTTTTTTTCTTGGTTTCAAGCTTTAATAAATAAATTATTTTGGAGAACAGCTTATGAATTCAGGCTCTCAGTGGCTCCTCTGTAATTCTCAGACTATGAGACCTGAGCTGATGGCAGTCAGACCACCTGTTGCTGGATTGTTTTTCAAGATTGTTCTCTGTGAATGAGGCTGCATGTTTAGGCTCATTGTGGTGCTACAAAATGAATTTGGCAGCTATCAGATGCCTCAATATTAATAATAGTAATAATAAGTCATAGTTATTGTTATTATTAACAGTTTTTGTGCTAATATTCTGCCATGAAGCATCATTTTCACAGATGCATGCGTGTCTGATTTTGTTGACGGAAATATAAACAAAAAAAGTCTTTCACTCATCTGTTTCATGGCTCACGTGTATAGGAAAGTAACAAACAGTGCACACAGACACATATGTGTTCTGCACCCTGTTTGTTACTTTCCTATACACGTGAGCCATGATGCTTTTAGATGTTCCCAGGTATAAATTAAAGACAAAGGGAGAGAGGGCGTTTGCTGTGGCTGCACCCAGACTGTGGAACAGTTTACCTCCTCACGTCAGACTCTCCAAAAGCCTAGAAACTTTTAAAACCGCTCTTAAAACTCACCTCTTTTCATTGGCTTTTAGAAAGGTTTAATTTATTTGTTTTATATATTTTTATTTTATTTTTATCAGCGAGGTGTTATTACGAAATTGTGTTCTATTGTATTTTTATCTGTATTTACTGTACAGCACTTTGGTCAGCCTTGGTTGTTTTTAAATGTGCTCTATAAATAAACTTGACTTGACTTGACTTGACATGAAACACTGTGATATTCATCTTATATGCAGTTATACAGTGAGTAGTTATAGTAGAATAGGATCGTACTGTGACAACCACATGCTTTGTGTGGCACTTTTGTCATTTGCAGAACATAACCTAATATGGTTATGTCCTTTTTCAGCAAGTACCCAGTTGTGCAATGTGTGGGGAACAGCTCTTAATATTGTGTTTGTGAAATCCGTCACAACATGATCAGAGCTCACACCGATGTCTTTCCAGTGAACGATGCAGAAAGGTTGCCAGGAAGAATATCCATACTGTGCCTACAAAGTGACATGTCATGCACTGTCCTTTTACTAATCGTGTCATGCCAAGAAGGTGGACTAATAACTCATAATTGAGTCTGTCACTTTCTATCTAAAGGGTATCAGTCTTTGAAGGATCTAAATTTGGTGCATGTGTGTGTAGAAATATTCTTTGCAAACATGCTGAATCTTAATTATTCTAAAAATAATGAATCATAGCTGGTCTATTTGACATCTGACTGCTGTTTCCTTTTCTTCTTGAAGATGCTTTTGTTTCCTCACATAGCTTCATGATTTCTAAACAGACTTTGTTTTTCTATTAATTAAAAAAAAAAAAAAAAGTACGAGTTTGGTGTGGAATAATCTGACTGGCCTGTACAGAACCCTGACCTCCCTTAACCCCATCAAAATCACCTCTGAGAAAATATTGAACAGAAATTGCAAGTCAAGCCTCTTGTCCAACACCACTGTTGGGGGGTGGGCAATCATTCCCAGAGACACATTCCAAAATGTCATAGAAAGCCTTCCCAGAAGAGCGGAAGACATCATAGGTGCTCTGCCTACGGATGTAGGATGGGATGTCATAAAACCTCCTGTAGGTGCAATGTGAAGGTGACCGTTTTTGTCCATATAGTGAAGCGGCAAACTGACTGAACTTTCAATATGCACTTGCAGCCTTAGAACCAGTCTTATAAGAGGTACCTTCCCTTTGATTAATTGCCTCGTGATCGAGTACCGAAACCTCTGAATAAATGTTTTTTTTCCAGGGTGCGGAACACATATGCGTCTGTGTGCACTGTTTGTTACTTTCCTATACACGTGAGCCATGAAACAGATGAGTGAAAGACTTTTTTTGTTTATATTTCCGTCAACAAAATCAGACACGCATGCATCTGTGAAAATGTTCTATTTACTGAAAACACCATGAAACTTAATTTTCAAAGATTCCACACAGCCGTATTTCATTTGCCCAAGGAACAGATATTTTAATTGCTTTCTTTATTGTGACCTGCTGTTCGTGAGCATGCCTGTACAATATTCAGAGATGTTGCATTCTGCTCAATGCCATGCTTTAGGTGGATGTGAATATTTAGTGTAAAAGAGTACCAGCGTGATACTTGTGAAAATGATTCTTCAGTTTTTCTCAGCCTCCTTTGAAGCTACTGCTGTCTGAAAGTCCACTCATTACATAACAACCAGATGTGATCTTAATCGGTTTACGTGGAACCGATTCCAGAGCTCTTTGGGGGGCGGGGGGTGACTGAAGTGTGAATCTGCAAGCATCTTTAAAAAAATCGAAATAAAAAAGCACTGACCACAACACTGCTGAAAAACTGCTTTTTGCACAGGTCAAAAAAATAGCAATGCCCTGTTAGAACAAAGTTATGAATGATATCTTTTTGCAAGGTACTGTCATTGCTGAATTGATACTATTCATCCCACGTTGAGTCAGCAAGTGACTGACGAAATGTCCTGGAGTAGTTTCAGTGCAGCCCTGAGTCAGGTCTGGAACCTCACTGATGCTTGTGAGTTTGTTTTGTAGATGCTTCACTTTCAAAAAAACAGTCAAAGATACTACAGTACACAGGTGTCTGTGTACAGTTTCTTCTTCTTTATTTGCAGTTCAGATCATTGACTGTTGTATGATGCTTTCACCACACCCTCCCCAAAATAAATCTGCAATTGCTCCCCATGACTTTGTGCTCCCTTCATTGTGACAGAGTGGTTTTAGTTTGCCTGTCAGTTTTGTTCTAAATGTGTGTGACTAAGTGAGATTACTTTTGCATGCATGCAAGTGTGCATATGCCATTGAGGGTGAGGCTGGCTAGTTGGAGTTACGGTAAGATACAGCAGTGTTGCTGCTGGTAAGTGATGTATATGGGTCACGTTTGAGGTTAGTGCATCAGCATGTTAACAGTGCAGTCTATGGTTCCTCACGTATACTGCAGGATGTGATGTATTCAGTGCTCTATTCCTTTTAATGGCAAACATAGCAGCTTTTACATATCGTGAAAGCAACTCTAAAGAGACATCTGTCATATTATTAAAGTAATTTATTTCAATTTAACAGAAGGCACAATAAATATAAAAAACACAGAATGAAACATCTTTATAAATAATTATAACAAATGTAATATTATTATAACAAAGTGTCCTTTTTTAAAAACAGCATGATAATGATTCAAAAGGATCCTAACAGAAAATTGTCCATAGGACAAATTGGTTATAACGTCTCATAAAAAATAAAGACAACAGTTCAGTAAGTCCCATACAAAAAATTCACATCTGTCAATACTTGTAAAAGTTCTGTTTCTCCCAGAGATGAGCTTCATATCTTGATTTAGGTCAGGAGGTCTTCCAGCAGAGGTTATTGTCTGTGTCGTTTAGAAGCCAGGTATGTCTCAAAGTAGTTAAACAATATGTCCAGCTCTCCCATAGCCTTGTATAGACCTCTGCTCTCCATCTGCATATGAGCAAAGACAGGTTCACTTAGTACAAATGGCAAAAAGTATAGGCATGCATATTCTTTTGAAATCAGGATTACAAATATTGCCTCACTGCATGTGTGACTTTGACACTCACCTGAGTGTAAGTAGAGTTCAGATTGTTGATGTCGAAATGTTTTTTGCAGGAGAAGTAGTTCCTCTGTAAGAAGAGCAAAAGAGACATGATGTTACTACTGGTGATCTGCATGCGGACAACATTAAGAAAAGAACCTTAAGGCGGGAACATTCAGTCTCTTCTCTTCCCTTTTTGCATAATCTGGAAGATGCACACTTGTGCATTTCAAAAATCACATGACTAATGCAGTATTAAGACTCGTTCTGTGAGCACTCACTTAAACCCGAATCAACCTGTCGCAGGGTACTTGGAAATTTTTTGGTTTAATGAATTAAGAAATTGGATATTTGTAAATGCAGAGTAGAAGCTAACTTCCTTGCAGATGATCACAAAGTCAAACGGCTATTTAAAGTAAAAATCAAAATCAATATATAACTCAATTTATAGGTGTATTTTATCAACCAAACCCTATCCACCTGACCAAACATACTTTGCAGTGATTACTTGTAAATAGTTTTATTGAATTCTGCTCGGCTTTTTTTTTTATTGCCATCTTTAACGACTTGAGCGAACATAACAAAAAAGTCATATGAAGCCACTGAATGGTAGTTTAAGGCATGCACTTGCGTATTCTACAGAGGATACTCGTGACCTTAAAGCAGCGCAAGGTGAATATTTACACGGTTTGTTTTGCTGTGGGAGTTAACACGTGTCAGATACTCACACACTGGGTGACATCTCTCTTCAGGGTATTGAAAATTTCTTGTATGGACTCCACGTGAGGCTTTAAGTTCTTGGTGTCTTCAGTCACTCCGGCCATGGCTGTCGGCAGAACCGTGTCCAGGTAAAATTCCAGTAAGCTGTTCATGGCGTAACAGGCAAACGGGCTCTGATGGAGCAGAACATCAGCGTGGTTATTTTCATGCTTTTCTTATCAAATCCTAAACTTTTTGTGGAGAGGGTTTTTTTCCCCCTCGAGAATCTTACCTTAAAGGAGTCTTCGACGGACTGATCTAGCAGCGCTGAGTCTAAGTCATCGTTTGCTTCCTGCAAAAACAGCGAAGGAGAAAAAAATAGTAAGTGCGCCGTGAGACACCCGTGCACCCACAAAGGCTGACAGGCAGAAGTGAGAAAGTGCAGCATCCCCGCTGTGGGGAAGGCTGGTGATGCTGCAAAAATGCCTGCAGAGAACGTGCTTTTACTCACGTAGAAATCTCTGATCCGTGAATAGTCCTGTCTGAGCTTCTTGAGCCTGACGGGGAAGCCCTCCACGAAACGGCAGCAGCGGTTGTTGCACATAGGAGAGCACAAAGCAGAGCTGAAGAAAGACGCGAGCGCCAGGACGCACAGGAGGACGGTCTGAGAAGTCATTCTGCTGGATAAGATGCTGAAGTGTTCTGGCTGGAATGAAGAGAATAGCTGGTCCACAGAAATGCTGATGCTCCTGCTGCTGCTGCACAAAAGGCTTTGTTGGATCTTGCTGAATTGCTCAGAAGAGAAAAATGTGTATACTAGAGCTCATCAGTTGCTTTAATTTATAGCAAAATCTGGCGAGGGAGGAGACTTACTGGAAGAGAAATGGTTAAACATGCTTCATACATGAAGGGGAATTTTTTTTTGGCCTAGAAGCAGCTAGTGTGTTGCATATGTTCTACCACTCCCATCATATGGGTTGGTATTGACATCATGGAAATAAACTCTGACATCATTTTCTGTGATCAATAATTCAATAGGTTTTTGCTTGTTTTAAAAAAAATGATTTTTCATATAGTAATAATATTGCATATATAATAAAAATGCTGCTACCACTACCAGTAATAGTAAATATAGTTATCCTTCATCACCTTATTATAATCATTATATATTTAGAATTTTTATTCAACCTGTTGCTTTTAAGTGACAAGTTTACACGCATCGACCCTACTAAGTTCCTAAAAGGAGCAGATAAAGAACTCCAAACTGATTTTTCAGTGTAAAAACTGTTTAAAGTCCATGAAAAGCAACGTATGACTATTCACAATAACAAAGGAAATCGAACCCCCATATGGAAATGACATGAATTGTGGTTTGAATATGATGACGCTGTGGATTCTCGCTGCATGTCAGACATACGTAATAAGAGTGCTTTTCACTTTGAGTTCGAGTTACTGCAATCTTTCTTAGATTCCATAATCCTTTCTCAGTGAACCATTTTGCATTAAAAACAATGTATATATGTTTTCAGATTTGTAATAGAGAAACCGCACCGAGAAGTGATTCAGTAATGTTGGGAGTGTAAGAGGTATTTCCCCCTTAGTACTTTTTTTGAATGGAATGTCCAGCAGTCCAGATAATTTGATATCTCCCCAATTCACACGTCGTCTTAGGCCGTGCATGTTAGGCAACACTGGCATTTGGAAAATACGCCCGTGTGTGTGGGTGTGGGGAGGGGGGGGGGGTCATTCTGTGATCGCCTCTGTGTGATAAACAGACTTTGCAGTCAGCAGACAAATGAAGGGTCAAGCTAAAGTTCATTTAACACGTGACACATACATAGTTTTGCAATAATATTGTAATAAGAGATTTAATAAAAGGGTTTCAAGTTGTTTTTGAAGGCAGAAGATTTGAAATGTCTAAATTGTGGTGTAACTTTCAGTTTGTTACAAAAAATAAACAGAGCAAGGGAACATGTTATGGTTTGGGTTAGGGAGAGAAAAATCAAGAAGTGGTCAAATCTATCCACGATATCTATTATCTGTGAAATCTATAGTGTAGTCGTTAACCCATTCGCTAACGTGTAAAAGATCCCTGATTTGAGACCGAGAGCCGACAAACTCCATCCTTAGAGGGTCATGAGCTAGTGTACTCTCATTTGGTCCCATGGTTATGTCATTAAGGCCAATCCAGCGTAAAATCTATGCATGGGGCAACACCTTAGGAAGTAAGGGAACAGCTGAAGTTACTCCACGTAAAATAAATGAATCAGCAGTGACCAGTTCATGGGAAACGCCTCATACTTCACATCAGTGCATGTATGCGCTCTGCATTGTGATTTTATAATTTGTATAATTAGTTGCTTTTAAGATACTTCTGACTAGTCTGATACGTCATTTTTCTGAAAATGACAAATTTTAAGTTGTTAGTCAGAATCTTTTGTCATAAGATGTTTAACCAGATAAACTCCTGAGTAATAGAAACCCACACCACACAATAAATGAGGTCTTCAGACCTGCCATTCACAGAACTGAGGTGTTATCAAGGTATGATTAGTTCAGGTTGAAATTGTGTTACTGGTATTAGTAATGCTAATCCCGTTTGCCACGAGATATACCTGAAACCATATGCAAAAGATTAGCAAAAATGATGTCATCCATTGGTTTGTGGGCTACCGTCTTCATGCCTCCAGTTAAGCATTTCACCACACCTTCCTGTTGTAGGTACTAAGTTGGAAACCTTTTTGCCTTAACTGCTTTAATTCTTCGTGGCACAGATTCAGCAAGGTGTCGGAAACATTTCTCAGAGATTTCGGTTCATATTCACTTGACAGTTATGCACATCCACGATGAGAATCTCTTGTTCCACCGCATCCCAAATGTGCTCTGTTCGACTGAGATCTTGTGATCGTGGAGGCCATTCGAGTACAGTGAACTCAAAGTCATGCTCAAGAAACCAGTTTGAGATGATTTGAGCTTTGGGACATGATAACCTCCTGAAGGTGTCTATGAGAAGATGGATACTCTGGGATCACAAAGGGATGAACATACCCAGTAAGGATCCAATAATACACCAATAATGCTCAGGTAGGCTGTGGCAGTTAAGTGATGCTAAGATGGTACTAAAGTGCGCCAAGAACATTATACGAGCAGCAGCAGCCTGACTGTTGATGCAATACCCTGCCATCCAAATGTCACTGCACAAATCTAGACTCATCACACCTGACGTTTTTCCCAATCTCACCAGTTGTGATGAGCCCATGTAAACTGTAGCCTCTTGCAACACATTCCTGTTTACGGGGAGAACATGCAAACTCCACACAGAAAGACCCTGGCCTGATGGTGGAATTAAACTCAGGACCGTGCTGCCATGCAGCCTGTAGCAAGCAAAAACTCTTCTCGAGACTGAAAAAAATCTTAACAGCAATCTAAGGCAAGGGAAATGTTACTGAAACTGAAAACACAGTGCTAAAAGGTCAAAGTATTTACTGAGGTAATAAATCAAGAGAGAAGTTGGGTCTTATTCTTTAAGGGCTAAGGCACTTTATAGTCGACTTCTCTGTTCTGGTACAGAGGTTACATCAGTCCTCCATCAGTCACATTGTAACAAGCTGTTTCCTGGTTTTGAATCAGTATGTAGCACCAAAAAAAGGAAAACCGCATACACTTTAATATAGCTGCCTTTCTCGGGTGACATTTGCATTTCTGTCTCATTTTAATATAAAATAAAGTAAACTGACAGACTTGTGACTTTCACACTAGAACGCTGCAAAATATAGATGAAAGCTACAGGCGTGAAGTTTTATCTCTTTGTTTTAGCAATATGACAATACTATGAAAAAGAATCTGCGCTGTCAGAAAGTTAACATTTTCGTTAAGCGGCGTCTTCATCTCAGTCTGTAAAAGGTAACCTGTCAAACGAAACCGCAAAGAAGTGCTTTAGCAGTGATATTTCCCACACCATACAACGGTTTTCTTCTGCCAACACATCCCTTTTCATGTCCTGTTCACAATTTGCTTCAATGAAATGGGGACAAAGCAGAGCCAGAGCTTATCTTGCATCTTGTCGCTTTGTTGTAACAGTCGGCTGGGAGGCGTATGCCTTGTAAATAATTAGGTGTCTCTGTTGTCTTTGCGCTTAACCCTTTACCTCAGTTTGCTGATGCTGTCATGCACCAGTGCTGAGAATCTGCTGTCAGCGATTTTCAGCACTTTACATGAAACTACTGCTGATATCACATCCAGTTGAAACCTAACCCACTCCTGGAACTTGACAGAAATGAGCTGATATAACAATGCGTCTGAATGTGAATTTCTTGTGCTCTGCAGACCTGATGACTTGCACTCTGTATTGTAGTTATGCCTTTCCTCAGCCTTGTGCATCACATTTTTTGTCAGTTTATCAGAAACTAACGCGTCTTTACAGTCACATTCACCACACTCCTCTTTCACTTTCACATTGTTTGTCCGTTTGAATGCGTGTGTGTGTGCGCGTATGTGTACTCTCCCCCCCCCTCATTTGTAGCACACAACTCTTCTCAGGTATGTTTCAGTTATTGTTTATATTTTGTGGCTTTGGTTATATAAACATAAACAATTGTTATGAAGTGTGAGTGTGTGTGTCTTCACTAGTTTTGTGTAGCTTTAGAAATTCTCAAAAAGGAAATGATCAGAAATGCATCTTCTATGACCAGGGTCAGTAAGTATCGTTGATACCGCCAGTCACACTCACATGGATGGGTGTGGTAACAAGTTGCATGAGATCTGATCTGACAGCTGGTAACGGGGTGGATCGATGCCTATTTTGAAGAATGCTCAGAACAGTAAAAGAGCAAATTTCTTGGAGCTTCATCTTCGTTCCCTGTAGTTGACCAACAGAGAACTACGAGTAATTCTTCAGTCACTGAACTGCCCTCCCAGCTTACTCACTGTGATGAATGTGCTCTGCTTAGTGATGGAAATGAAAAAACGAATTCATCATCATTTATTTATTTAATGCACACTTGACTGCAAACGGACTGGTGCTATTTACTCTATTTGAGCACTTGAAGTGGTTTTCACCACAGTCCTCATTCATTCACACACACATTTATACAAGTGCTTTTTGCCAATACCTAAGTGGTTTTAACCTGACACACACACACAGAATAACACATGCACATACACAAGAATACAATAATAAATAAAACGTTGTCAACAAATTTATTATTTCTGCAGAGCTGTACAAGCAGTATGAAAAACCCGTATTGGTGTGATGTGAAACTTAAGTAGCCCTGCGCTCATGCTGAGTCGTCATCTGTCAACTGGGGAAACTCTGAAATTCCCTGTGTTCAGCTGACCCGGACCTACTCACTCGTTAATCAACTTTCTGGTTTGTAACTGATATGCTTCAGTTTGATATGATCAAGAATTAGGTTTCATTCTCCATACTGTCTTTATTATTAGCGGGGTTTTTTTTTTAAAGTCAAAGTGCGTAAGCACATGCACATATTTGGTAATTTGCATATGTGCCTAAGATGGTGTTAACCGCACATAAGTAAGAACTGCTCATTGTGACAGCTCATGTTTTCCACATTCCTTTTTAATGTAGTGTATAAATGCTGAATTAGTGAAAATTAAAAATAACAGTTTCTCCGTGCATCTGTAATGATGAATCACAGTTTCACAGATTCTTATCGTTTTAATTCCATGCTTGGTCTGCTGTTCGTCAGATTTTTTTTTTTTTTTTATATATAAACACACTTGGTAAGTAAACTGGCTCTTACATAGCATTTTTCTACCCT